TGTGCGGACTTCACCTCCCAGAATTCCCCAGCCAGCATGCTGGCTGGGGAATTCTGGGAGTTGAAGTCCGCACATCTTAAACTAGTTAAGGTTGAAAAACACTGCTCTAACCACTCCATTCCCCACCCTCACTGCAGGAATTGCACTCCTAACCTGTCCTTGAAGCCACTGAAAATGGACTTGCCCTTTACAGAGGCTAAATTAATTATTAACCATCCTCCCATTGCTGAAATCCTTTACAGCCTAGTGGAAAAGGCGCCTCTCCTGTTGTGTTTGCACACACAGATTGCCAAGTCATTTGAACACCTAGTGCCTTGCACAATCTGACAAGCACTAAGCACCATGGTTTTCATTTGGATCGATGCTTATTTCACAGAGTAGTGTTCGGTACAAATCCAGCCGTTAAATTCACAGGACACGCTTACCCAGGTCAGCTCATGACCGGCGAGTGCATTTGCACCACAGACGAAATGGGGTTAATTTAACCTTGTGTGTGTGTGTCTGTGTGTGTGATCTTATTCTGCATATAGTTGATTTTTAGTTATTCATTGAATTAAATTTAAAGATATCCCCCTCCCCAAGACTCCAAATGACCCTGGGCAGCTAACAATTTAGAAAGCAAGAACAATAAAGGGGGGGGGGCAGAGAAGATTATCCATCCAGAAAAAAACATACAGAGCATGACAATAAACCTGACAACACACCCACCCTACCTCAAAGCCTGGCAAAACCGCCAGGTTTTCAAGGACGTTTGGAATATCGTCAGGATGGGAGCTATACAAACATCTCATCACCTCTCGTAATCATTTATTATTATTATTTTGTAGTGTATGGTGTTCTATGAACCCAGCTTCTTAGGTTAGGTCCTCTGTTGTGCAAATCCAAGAAATGGGTTCATTCAGAAAGTAGGTTGCACGGATGCTGTCTCGGAGCCGGAAGCTAGCCAACCTAGTTTCTAATGCAAACCCAGCCCATGGGGTTAGTTTAGGGATCAGGGGCTGGGTGTGCAAAACAGGGTTAAGCAGGTTGGTTAAAAAGGGTAAGTTTGATTCATGTCAACCCTGGTTAGGTCAGCAGGTGCGAAAGCAGGTCCTCGGGGCAACTGATGGTTTGGAGTGTCGCGTGCATGGAGAACATTGGCTTCGTTTGAGAAATCACGGGTCAGCAGAGCATTAGTGAACGTGGCTTTGGAAAAGGGCCTTTCGGTGTCTTCTCCATCCGTGGCTTAGCACGCGTGTGACGCCAGCTCTTGTGGGGCCGGGAAATCACAGTCTATGGCTTATTGCGCTGTGGCAACCCAGCCAGTGTGGCTTGTTCAACAAACCAGGGTTTGGCACAGTGGCTAAATGGTTGGATCCCCCCCAGGCGCGGTCCTAGTATGGTTTGTGCTCACTTAGCAGGCCGCTCTCCACCAAGCCTACCTCGCAGGGTTGTTTGCGAGGATAAGAGGGGAGGCGAGCAGACGATAGATCGATGAATACAAATACATTTTTGGAGGGGAGACGCATCTCTTCAGGCTTGCCCAAAGCTGCGGCAGCCTTCGATGGCGTGATGTGGGAGGATGAGCACAGGACGTCTCCACCCATGTCAGGCGCAAGGTAGAACAGGTCAAGAGTGATGGCCTTTCACGCTGCTTTGAACACCTCGCCCAGTGAAATGACGCCAGCACCCCACGCAAACAGCCAGGGCGTGACACCTCAAGGTGTGCCAGGAGCCTCCAGGGCAAGGCAGAGGCTACCAGGGAACTAGGTCACCGAGGGTGGAATGGACACGGAGTTTGCATGATCTGGAGGAAGAAACCTTTCACCAGCAATCCGCCGGGCAGCTGGGGCTGGCTCACGCCGCTCACACACTGAACATGCGCAGAGGGCTCCCCTTGCCAGGGTATCCTTGGGAGGGGGAGGCTGACTCAGGAGAGAGCTGCCCTAAGGGGCCTTCAGCCGCGAGGGGGCCTGATCCACTGGGACGCGGCAAGGAAGGGGACCGGGCAAACCACGGGCTCTTGCAAAATGCAGTTGGGGTAATTCAAAAATAAGTTTTTTTTAAAGTACCATATGTTATTTTAGTGCTCCTAGCCCTTTTCACAAAAGTGGGTTTCTCTTAGTTGAGTAGCTGGGAGCACGTTCAGCATTCAGCCATGTGGCAGCAGTATAATTTCACTTCCTTCCTCCTTCTCTCCCTCTGTCCAATTCTTTTCCTTCCCTCCCCTTCCCTCCTTCCTTCCCCTTTTCTCCTTCCTTCCTTCCTTCCTTCCTCCCTTCCTCCCTTCCTCCCTTCCTTCCCCTTCTCTCCTCTCCTCTCCTCTCCTCTCCTTGCCTGCCTGCCTGCCTGCCTGCCTTCCTCCCTTCTCTTTCCTTCTTTCTCTTTCCTTCTCTTTCCTTCCCTCCCTCTCTCTCTCCCCCCCCACAGAAATTCCCGTCGGATCTGGGAGCCAGCGGCAGCAGCACCACCGCCCCCTTCATCCCCAACCTGAACACCATCACCCCCAGCCACAACCTGCAGTGGATGGTCCAGCCCGCCCTCATGGGCGCCTCCTCGGGAGTCCCTCCTTTCCCCCGGCCCTACCGCTGCCCGCACTATGCAGCGGGCATCCGTCCCGGCGTGATACGGACCACAGGCCCCGGCTTAGCGCCTCGGAGGCGTCACTCTGAGCATGTGAGTATTTGGAAAAGAAAAGTCTTTTCCTGGCCACGTTAGACTGGGTGACTAAGGCCAATGTTACTCAGCCAAGCTGAGCTGAGCTGAGCCGAGCTGGGATTCGATCCCGAGTCTCCCTTATCTTGGCCTGTTAGACCCACTGGCTCTCCTTCTGGGTAGATTGGGGCAGGGGATCCTGATCCTCCTTTTTAGAGGGGTTGCATAACACCTCCCATCATCCCCTGCCAGCACAGCCATTGGAAAGTGGACTAGAATTTGGTAAAGGCCCCCAGGCAAAAGATCTGTGTGCAAGAGTGTCTCTGAGCATGTCCAGAGTTCTCGCTCTTTCCTTCAGCTCCAGAAATGGCCTGCTTTCATCTGTCCTTTTTACCACTATGTGATGGGCAAGAAATAGAAAGAGCTCATCTTTATTTATTTGGTTTTTCTAAATATATATATTTTTATTATAGATTCATTCCTACGATGGAATATTGATTTAGACTGATAGCTTGTCTTTCTCTAGGAACATTTTCCCTTCATCCCATTTTTTCAGAGAACAACAACCCTGTGAGGTAGGCTGGGTTGGAGTCATTGTTGATGGCTTTCCATCCCTTCGAGCAATGTTTTTCAAACTTGGCCACTTTAAGATGTGCAGACTTCTGGAATATAAATAGAGCAAAAAGATTTTTTTAAAAAATCATTATTTGAAAAAGTTAAACAAGATGCGATTTGCTTACAAGAAACACACATTAGGAAAAAAGATATAAAATATCTGAGTCATGAGAATCTGGGCGAAGAATTTATTTCAGCAGGAATGAAAACAATGGAGTTGTTTTGTTGATAAATCTTCAATTATATCCCAAACTCATCTTGACTGATGATCTCGGCAGATCTGTTGGGGTGGAAGTTAATCTACAAGGGGCCAAGGCTTTGATACTAGGAATGTATGCCCCAAATGAAGATAAAACAGCATTTTATAAAGGACTTATGGACAAATTATTGGATTTTTTGTATGAAAATCGGTGTCTCCTGGGAGATTGCAATGGTTTCCCCACAAAAACATAAGAACTTTTGAGAACAATATTAAAAGCTTCCAAAGATTTTTTTTTTTTAATTTAATGGACAATTTGGAGCTTGCTGATGCATGGAGATATAAACATGGTGACTCAAAAGAATATACTTATTTTTCTGAAAGACATGGCTCTTTTTCAAGAATAGATATGATTTAGATTTCTAAGACTTTGTCTGCTAACGTTCGTCAAGGGGAGACCTTATCAAAGACTTTTTCAGATCACAATCCAGCGACTTGAACTTTTAAAAGGAAAAACGGATCTTTTAGGTGGAGACGTTGCTGCAAAAGGGAACGGTAGCGGAGAACTGCGCAAAGAAATTAAAAGAATTTTTTTTGAGAATAATCTTAATAAAGGCACCCAAGGGAGGTTGATTTGGGGTGCAAGTAAAGCTTTTGCAAGAGGGTATTTTACGGTATACAATGTAATAGCGAACTTAAAAAGAGAAAGCACGAGAAAATACTCATGATTTTGGATGAGATAAAAAAAAAAAAAAAAAGGAAGAAGCATTTTTTAAAAATCCCCAGGAATTACTATTATTCACCAAATTGAGCTTTTATAGAGGCAACTATAAACCGCGAGAGAGATGGACGTAAAGATGAACTACGCAAAGACATTCTGAATTTGCAAATAAACCAGGGAAAGGGTGGGCGTAGAAGCTGCGAAAAGAAAAAGAAAAGAAAGTGATATTCAAGCTACAAAAAGGAAATGCTGTAAGAACAGATAATGCAAATATACAAAAAGCGTTTCGTTGGTCTCGTACGACTTTATACAAAGGTCGAGAAATTTCTTCAGAGAAAGTGGAGGAATATTTACATAAACAGATTTTACCAAACGTGACAGAGAAGCAGAGAAAAAAATTGAATGGACCTATAACAATAAGGCGGTGTTTCTCAACCTGGGCAACTTTAAGATGTGCGGGAGTTTTACCCCCCACATCA